ACCTAGGACACTAACTTCTCACAGACACAGGTCTTTCTAGATCCACAGGTCACCTGGTTCTCTGTCTATGCTGAAGCCCTTTCCCAGATGGGTAGGTTTGACCTCTACAGGCTTTCAGTTAAACCCTGTCACAAAGTCAAGTGGGGAAGAGAAAGGAGCCAGCAGCGGAAACTGGTGCTCCCTCAGTCTGGGCCAAGTGCTCAGTTCTGAGGAAAACCTGCAGATGTCCACAAACAGTCCGAGAATTGGGATCTGCATTATTTTTAATTTTTTTATAATCTCCTAGAACTGCCTTTTGAGTTGGCTGTTTCTGTTTAATTGTTCTTTTGCTGGGGTCCTGAAATAGAACTATTATAGCCAACAGCAAGGGAGGCTAAAAAGAAATTAACCTCTCTCTCTCTCTCTCTCTCTCTCTCTCTCTCTCTCTCTCTCTCTCTCTCTCTCTCTCTCTCACACTACACTCACATACTCACACACCACACACACACTCACACCTCTCTCTCTCTCTCTCTCACACACACACACACATACACACACACACACACACACACACACACACACACACACACACCTCTGACTCTCTCAGACGGTTTTTTTTTTTCTCCTCCAGGGCTGCAGTCCCTCCCAAGGAGGGGACTGGCCAGCAGATCTCCCAAGGAAACAGTTCTGTCAGGTCCCTCTGCATGTGCAGAAGCTCAGTCAGAGAGAGGAGAGAGGGAAAGCCAGAGGGAGAGGGGGAGAGGGGATCTGTTGCAGGCAGGGGAAGGCGTGACCTGAATGGAGAATGCCAGCCAATTCCAGAGACACACAGGGACCTCAGAACAAAGATAAGGCATCGCTAACACCACACCGGGGACTGGGACCGGCTCACAGACAAGTCCAGCAGACAGGACCAAGGCCAGGAGCACACAAGACAGGAAAATGAGGTGAGTGAAGTGCCCTCTCCAAGACCAAGTGTAGAGCAGCCCTCTGGGTCTGACCTTGTCTCTAGGCAGACTCACCTGCTTGCCCTCTGGCTGGTAGGGGATGGGGGATTCTCACCAATCCTCAGGGCCCCCGCAAAGAGCGCCCTGTCTCTGGGGCACCTTCCCAGAGACTCCCAGAGTCTTGCAACTTGAAACCAGATAGTTTGTACAAAGCCCGTTCGCGGTGCGGCGCGGCTGAGGCTCAGATTTCTCCCTCTGCCAGCACAGGGTGCTGCCTACTGGCCAATGTGATCCTCCTCCTCCTCCTCTTGTCCACAAGGCTGATTCTTCATTTTCCTACTCAGCATAGAGCAATGCTTTCTTTCTCGCAACACTTTAAGAGTTAGATAATGTGTTTGTGTGTTTTTTCTTCTAAACAGAAAAGAAACCAGTTCCCCCACAGCTAGGCTGGGGGGTTTCTTGAGCCTTCAGAAGTTTGCCAGTTAAACCTCAATTTAGAAAACTAAAAACCTGTCCCCATTTTACAGTTCCCTATAAATTCTTCATTTCTCACTGAAATCAGGGGCAGCTGGTGACATGAATCAGGCTAGGAAATGCACCAAATGGCTCTTAAAGAGACACCACGGTTTTTCAAAGGAGCGTTTGGAATTCGGAAACCTACCACTTTAAATTCTAACAGGATTGAAGCTCTTCAACCTTTCTTGTTTCTGGTGTTGCTTGAGGCTCCTCACCAGGCATTTCTTATGAGCTTTCCCAGAGTCTGAAACCCCAACTATCGTAATTATTTTTTTAATCACTTGTAAGTGTCAAAGCTGCTAGGAAAGATCTAGAGGGAGCGAGAAAAAGCGCTCGGTAGGTGGTTAAGTCTCCGCGTGCCTATTTCTCCATTCACTTTCCCTTTTAATTGGCAGTTTCTGTGTTTCTCTTCTTTGCTCACCTAGCACCTTTACTGAGTCCAGGGCCAATGAGGGGTCTCAGTCTCTGTGACTTTGAATTCCATGTACTATGGCTCACAGGAAGAGAAATCTCTGAAAGTTCGTTTTATCGACCTGATCTTTGTAAAGTCATTTTTTAACCTGCCAGAAATTTTCATTTTCCTTTCTTCTAAAACAAAGGCTTTTCTCCCTTTGTATTTGGGATGATAATCTACTTTACCTGTATCTCAGCCATTTCAAAGCACGCCCTTGCCTATGCTTACCCTGGATTTAGAACAACTCTCTCACTCATTTCCCACCCAGACTTGACTGGGCAGGCTCGCCATTGCTTCCTGGGTCCTAATCTCCACCCCCACCCCCACCCCCACCCCCAGACATGGCCCCTCTTCCTTTGTTAGCATCTGTGGCTGTATCTCTCACCATCTCTGGAATGGCTGCTTATTTAAATGTCCACTTCCCCTTCCAAGAGATGCGATCAATATCTTCATCTTTGTGGACTGTCTGCACGGTCATGTGACCAGCACCTAACAGAATGCCCCTTTCCCAGTAGAAATCCAACAAATGTGCTTGAGTTGAATTCAATTACTGAATATCAAAAAGACGTGCCAGGGAGCCATTCTTCTGGCTCTCTCTGCGGGGTCGGGACTCACCAGCATATGACTCTTCAGAGTTTGCTGGGAACTTTCACGGGCATTGTCTCATCCTGGCTTCAGATTTTGTGTGACTTAAGGATTAATGGATACACGAGATAAAAACAGTTAAGCATCTTGCCCAGAGCTACACTGATGATCTTGAAAAAGGCCCAGACTCATTCTTGTGTCTTTGGGCATTTTCCTCCCCTATCCCACCAGGCACTCAGTCCCAGCTGCAGATTACAGTGGTCTATGTTACTTAAGGAATGCCAGTCCCCAGGCAATAGGACAGAATTCCAAGCATAGGGTGGCGGTGGGGGAGGGTTCAAACATTAGTAATTTTTTTTTAATTTCCACATAAAGCTATGGGTTTTTAAAATTATTTTTCACAGGATTAATTGCTTTGGCCAGATGCCTGGGCATGATACGGGCATGGGTCCCAACTTCTCCTGTGAGCTTTTGTTATTCTTTTCTGCTGTCGAAGTTAATTCGCCATATGGTATTTGGCACGATGTGCCATCTCTTAGGGTATACTTTTCATCGTCTGTCAAGTGAGGGTGTTGGGTAAGGGAGCCGTGTTGTCTCTCCCAACCCCGGATCTTAAAAATGGAGTGTTGGTGGTGCGTACACTGAACAGGGGAGTGAATGGAGACGCTCAGACGTGCCATTCTTCTCGCCATCTGACGCACGCAACTTCCTTATCCAGCCCCGATAGCCCGCTCTCCCCACAGAGACGAGTACACCCCAGCTCTCTGTATCACTTTTTGACATTTCAAGCAAATGCAGCTCAACTTTTTGATCAACTGGAGGATAGATAACAGGTGTCCAGGGATTGTACAGCCGGTGCCTGGTGCCTACGAAGCCAAAACACAAGTGTAACAAGAAACGAGAGCTGCCACGCACTCCTTTGACTCACAGCCCCTAAGGCAAGCAAACAAGCAAGCATATGCTTCAGCCTCTTCCATGAATGGAGACAGCGGCTTCATGTGTGTCAGTCTGACATGTCCTTGGTGCACACTCACCACACAGCCCTGGGGCCTGGGCTGAGGCTTCCATCAACAGCCAGCCTAAGAAGAACTGGCCAGAGGAAGCTTTCTCCTCTGTGTGTTGGGGGAGGGAGGGCAGGGGGAAGATGTGGATAAAAGCAACCTTTCAGCCTTGTGTAATCCAGTTGTCACTATTGCAGGAAAGTCAGGGCTGGGAGCCAAAGCTTCCACTGTCAGGAAGTGGCATGATAGACCATCAGAGCAAGCCTTTACCTAGGGCTTGATATTAAAGCTTATCCCAGTGCTCGGGAGCAGAGCAGCCCTGTGGGAAATCATCATTATTTTCATGTATGAGACGAAGAACTAGATGGAAAACTCTAGTTCGGGGACCTTAGTTCCCTGAAGTGAGCGGGAGAAGTAAGGTCAGGGCCTGGAGTTGAAGCTGCTCTTCCATGCCAGGCACATCTGAACCTGCACTCTCAGCTCTGGTGACGGTGACTAAAGTCCTGGACACTAACCTGTGATTCCAGACCTGGGGAGGCAAAGATGAGAAGATCCCTGAATCTCATTGGCTAGCCAGCCTAACCTAATCAGCTAGTCCCAAGTGAGAGATGCTGTCTCCAAAATCAAGGCTGATGGCTCCTGACGAATAGGAGGTTTATCTCTGGTCTCCACACTCATGCACACATATATGCACATATGTGCACATGCGTGCGCGCTCACACACACATATGTATGTGCGTATGCATGTGCTCGCGCAGACAACAATATCAGAAGTGAGCACAGGAATCTCTTAGGAGCGTAGCTAAGGAGTCACGCTTGCAATGTTTGAGTTCAAGGTCCTTGGGTCTTGCTGGGAAAGCTCTACTCTGTGACCTGACCATTAGGACTATGACCAGCCTTAGTTACCCCGCTTCGGTATTGCGTCATGCATGTTTGATATCGTGTTGTCCATGCCCCTTTCACGGCTCTCTCAGCAGCCCATTACTTTCATTTCTCCAGGAAGGAATTAGAAACTTTCGATTCCCACAGAACCAAGTCCCCAAGACTTACTTTGTTCATTCTATCTTTATCAGGATTTTTTTAATAGGTTGACTGGTATGTACTAAACAATCTCTTTGAGAATAGTAAATGTGTTCAGTGTCTGTAGATTCCTCTACTGAGTTTGGGTTTTATCGCAATATTAGCTATCATTACTTGTATTTTTAAAACTACATAATTTGTGGCATCTAAGTGAGGTACAATTGAAGAAGCGATACCAATTATCATTTAATTATAGTAGTTATGTTCCCAAGAGTAGGCGAACATGGGCCAGGGTCCCAAATGTGCTACTTTACAGAAAACTTCAGTATGCATACCAGATTTGCAAAAGACCAAAGCTAAAACCATCTTAGAAATTACCTAGTTACTTTCTCCAAATGTCCTGCAGACCTGGTAAGCAAGACCCCCAAGGAGAAAAGCAGTATGAGCAGTTGTTTAGCTCGGGGGACCTGCAATCACTGATGTAAGCCAAACTCATTCATGTCTTTCAGGTTGCTCCTTCTCTACCATGGACTGTGCCTTGCCATGTTGGAGGTTTCAGCGCACACCGTGGAGCTAAACGAAATGTTTGGTCAGATCCAGTCCCCTGGCTATCCAGATTCCTATCCAAGTGACTCCGAAGTGACTTGGAATATTACTGTCCCCGAGGGGTTCCGGATCAAGCTTTACTTTATGCACTTCAACTTGGAATCCTCCTATCTTTGTGAATATGACTACGTGAAGGTAGGACCACAGTGTTCTCTAACTGGGCATAGACCAGGTACCGCTCTTACCTTAGCGGGGATGCATCGAGTGATGTTGAAATAAGAGCGGCGGGGCTGCGTCCCCAACTCCCCGGCCGCTTGGCTAGCTCATGCCCGAAATAACAACACACAAACTGTATTCATTTAAGAACTGCTTGGCCCATGAACTCTAGCTTCTTATTGGCTAGCTCTTACATATTGTTTTAACCCATTTCTAATAATGTGTGTAAGCACCCCAAGGTGCGCTTACAGGGAAGATTCTAGCCTAAGTCCATCGTGGGTTGGAGCTGCCTGGGAGAGCTGAGCATGGTGTCTCTGCTCCAGAGAGAGCAGCTGTGGGGTCTCTCTGTGAGCAGAGCAGAGTCTGACCTCACTTCCTCTTCCACCCAGAATTCTATTCTGTTTACTCCTCCCATCTATGTTCTAAGCTATGAGGCCAAGCAGTTGGTTTATTATAATTAACCAATGACCTTCCTCTATCAGAGTGAGGGACACACAAGGAGACAGTGCCATGAAAGACATGATGGGAGTGGTATGCCAAGTTCAAGCCTATGAAAGGTGACGGTATAATTTGGCTTTTTGGCTAGATACACTTTTCTCCCTCCTCTAGTCTCAATGTATCCAGTAGCTTCTGCTCCAACATACCAATAAAGGGTATAGATCCGAGAACAAGCAGTAATCACAGAGAATCCTAATTATGTCTGACACTGAGGTATCAGCTAGCCTGCCAAATTCCTTAAATAATGACCGGATGTTTAGGACCATAGGCTGTGCAACAGTCAAAAGGTAAAACGCAAAGTCTGGATGGAAGGTTAATGTGGGATTCTGAGGGCCTTGAATACCATGTCAAAAAGTTTATATTTTTATCAGCCAAGAGTATGGCCAGGAAGGGAAGGGACTTTTATTGGCAAATATTAAAATGTTTAATATTAAAATATTAAAAATGTAGAGAGAGCATGTGAGCACCACAATTTACAGACAACATTCTCTGGAATTGCCATGTGTGGGACGTTCTGGTTTCAAAGCGGGGCTAAACTCGGTGGGCACGCATGCCTACAACTCCAGGATGTAGGGTTAGAAATAGGGCAATGGTGAGTTAGCCTTGGAACAAACTCAGGTTGTGTCTTCAAAAAACAAGACAAAACAAATTTTAATAATAATAACATGGACCTGGAAAGGTTCAACACGTTCTAAGAGATCAAATTCACTCAGGTTGTACCTACTTCAAAAGTTCAGAAAACTAAAAAGCAACTTTTTCTTTTTAATGTGTTTATTTATCTATTTTTATGTATCTGAGTATTTTGCCCGCATGTATGTAAGTGCACTACATGAATGCAGTACCCACGGAGCCCCAAAGAGAGCATTGGCCTCTCTAGAACTGGGCTTACAGGTGGTCAGGAAGCACTGTGGGGGGTGCTAGTCCCAGAGCTTCTGGAAGAGCAGCCCATGCTCTTCGCCACAATGAAGCAGCTACTAACTTCTCTCTGGCTGTCTGGAAAAAGGTTCCCCCCAAAGCTCTTGAACCAGCTTTCTCTACTTAATCACGAGTCTACTTTTATTTTCCCTTCCCACAGCAACACTTAACCTTGTACTAACCAGAATGATCGACGGCATAGTAGTGAATTTACCAGGACCCCTTTTTTTTCCCATGAAATGTTTTATCTTTTATTTAAAATATTATTAGTAAATAATCATGAAGGTCTATTCCAACAGGAGCAGTTCTTTGCTCATATTTCTTTTATTTATTTAAATTTTATCCATTTTCCATAACCAGGTTAAATTTTTTCTCTTGAGGGTTTTGATTTTATTTTTTAATTTATTTATTTCTTTATTAATTAATTAAAGATTTCTGTCTCTTCCCCGCCACCGCCTCCCCTTTCCCTCCCCCTCCCCCAGTCAAGTCCCCCACCCTCGTCAGCCCAAAGAGCAATCAGGGTTCCCTGCCCTGTGGGAAGTCCAAGGACCACCCACCTCCATCCAGGTCTAGTAAGGTGAGCATCCAAACTGCCTAGGCTCCCACAAAACCAATAGGTGCAGTAGGATCAAAAACCCATTGCCATTGTTCTTGGGGTCTCAATAGTCCTCATTGTCCGCTATGTTCAGCGAGACCGGTTTTAACCCAGGCTTTTTCAGACCCAGGCCAGTTGGCCTTGGTGAGTTCCCGATAGAACATCCCCATTGTCTCAGGGTGTGGGTGCACCCCTCGCGGTCCTGAGTTCCTTGCTCGTGCTCTCTCTCCTTCTGCTCCTGATTTGGACCTTGAGATTTCAGTCCGGTGCTCCAATGTACCAGGACCCTTTATACTGATCATCTCATTCAAATTTCATTAAAGTTGTGTGGGACATGAATGCCTATCCTATTTCACAGCAAACCAAACCCAGAAAAGTTAGGTGACTCAAGGCAGTCCATCAGGAAGATGGCAGATCAAGATCCCAACCCACGTCATGGGAATCTGAACCCCATGCTTGTTTGGCCCTGCTGAACAGCTCACAAGCTGTGCTCCCCTGAGTCCCAGCATGCAAAACCATACAAGGGGTGTAGGAGGAAATGCTAAGTGGAGCTGTGGACCCTCCCCCCGTCTCAGCTCATTTTATATGCAGAGCCTTACTGCGGCGCCAAGGTCCACATGGAATTCCACATCAGGGTTCTCAATCTCAGCATTGTTGACATATAGAGCCAGGTAACTCATTGTTGAAGAAACAGGTCTTCAGATCCGAAGGATTTTTTGGCAGACCCCCTGGCCTCTATTTATTAGATGTCAGTGGCCGTTCCATAGCTTGTCATAGTCAACAATGTCTACAATGTTGACACTATCCCAGAACCATTGCTGTATGAAATGCTGCCTGGACGCCTCATGCTATGAACAATAGGACAATCAGATGCAAAATATCTGACCCCCCAGAAGAAAGGTAAGCCGAGAGAACATGAGCCTGAACACTTCAAAGTGTTCTTGAGGCAACTGGTAGACTGAGCTGCCGAGCTGAAGTCCCTGTGAGTTAGACGCATCTGCCCAGTTCCTATAGGGAAAGGCATTCATATGGGGGAGAGAGTTTACATGGCTGACTCTCTAGAATACCATTCTTGCATCAGCACCAGCTCCCTGCAGAGGTTCTAGCAGCCATGAGATAGGAACAGGCCTCCCACGAGATAGGAACAGGCCTCCCACGTCGGCTGACAACTCGATGGTTTATGTGCTTGTCCCCACATGTATAATAGTCTCCCTTCAAGAGTCAAGAGCTCACAGAAGTTAAGCTTCAGGGCCTGTAGTTTCTGCACACCCCCATTTTACAGGATTATGCTAAATGTTACTGTGTCTTAAGTCTTTTCCCCCTGATGAATACATTCTAAATCCTTCAGTTTGGCCCAATACAGAAACAGACAGACATGAAACAGTCTGGGTTTACGTGAGCACTAAAATGCCTCAACTTGCCCAAAGCCGGTGATCACCCTACCGCACTTTGAGGCCCAATACTTGAATCTGAAGCTCCAATCCAGTTCTCATTGTCTGGAAGACTGAAGGTCAGAGTTCAAGGAGAAAACTAACACTCTGTCTCTGAACTCACAAGGCCAGAAGTCTCACAGAGTTGAATCCACTCTCCTTTCCTAGGTGCCTGCACAACCTCAGGTCCCAGGATAGCTACTAGGTTTGGCTTTTAATGAGAATCTCTTCTCTTTCAATCCGAATCTGAGCACAAACATGCCACGCGGCTCCAGGATAATGCAACACTACTCTTCTAGATTCTGTTTGTTCATCTGTCCAATGAGGGATTGCGTCATTTTTCCTGGGGAAACATAAACAGATGCCTACTCTCCCTGCTAGGAGCCCACAAATGATCAGAGGAATAATTCTACCAAAGTTCAAGCTGGTGAACCAGTGAGTTCATTGGGGTTACTTAGAGGAGGATGGGCAAGGGGTTACTTACCATCACTCAAAGGCACCTGAACTACCCAAAAGCTCCTTCAGAGTGTAACAACTCATGAAAGCCACACATCTGGGACCCTGTGTGACTCATAGACTGCTGGAGACAGGCTGGAGAGACTCTTGCAGGTAGCTCAGAAGAGGGGAGGTTCTCTTCTACCTAGCAAGGCCTAGTGAATCTTGTTAGTTTCAGTAACTTCCTGAATCTTGGATAACTGCTTGCTTTCTGAATCTGAAGGAGCTTTTTCTAGGAGAGAATGTTATAGCAGGGAGGAAACTGGTGGAACAGAACGTGGGATGAGATGACCCCTAAAGCACCTTAAATTCCGGCCCTCTCCTTGCAGTCGCACTTGCCAGAATCTTCCAGATGATCCCTCCAAGTCTTCATTATCCTACTTAGCCAGTTCTCAAAATTCCGCTGCCATTAGCACTCTAAATAGAGCCTACACTCTTCAGGGGAACACCTTAGTGACACACTATTTGAGTCAAACTTGTAAATGTAGCACACCACCGCTGCTCTTTATCAAGTCACTTAAAATATTAGTTTCCTTTGGCAAAATAACATCCTGGACTATTTTGAGGATTTTTTTTTTCTCCATAGCTGAATTTTCCTTGGAGCCAAAGGGTAGGTTTAAAGGATCACCCAGCTCACAGAAACTATTTTCAGTCCAACCCACATCCATGATCCTCCCTTCCCACTCAAGCCCATCATGGTGACCATGCTGACACGGACTATCGTCGGCCCAAATCAAAACAGGACCTCAAAGCTGTGGACCGGATGCTCACATTTATGGGAATTCCTCTTCAGCCTGCTTTCCCGCAGCCCTCGGTCTTCAAGACACGTGCACATCTGCACAGCAGCATCTGCTTCCTTGGAATGCGCTGCCATAGTGGAGTCCTGCAGGGCACAGATGAGATGCATGCTTCACAGCTGGTGGGTGCTGCAGACGGAGGGCCCAGCACAGATGCTAGGCATGGGAGCTGGAAGTCTCTGGTCTATTGTTCATTCCATGTTGGCCTTAGGCAAAGTGGTTTCCTCTAGAAGAAACCTCTCCTTCTCC